AAAATGTTTCTTAGAAACAAACCAAATAGAATTCTGATATTTTAAGTGAGAAATCAACTTCTGGTATAGCAAAACATAATGCTTCATGAACGTAAAATTTGATATTCAAATAAAGTAAAATGTATGTAAACATTTATTCTGGGTTTGGTGTGAGTGCAATTTGTTTCACAGTTGACTTTGATAAACCAAATACCAGAAAGTGAGGAGGATGTTCACATTTAGTATTCATTAGTATGATACACTCTCCAGCTAAGCAGTACCTTTACTAGCTAAGTCCCCTCATATTATCTTGTGCCTGGAGGGTAGGATAGATTTTCCTTAGGCTGGAAAGTTCTTGGATCTCTTCTCCATAACATCCTTCTTCAGAATCCACATGTTGTGTAAGATATCCACATTCCACTGTTGTCACTAACAAGGCAAGGATTGTGATGAAAATCTGGTCATATTATAATCTTGTTTTATGAAAAAAGTTAATGTGTTAGGAAATTACGTCAGGGGAAAAGAGAAGGATTGAATAATGTAGTATGGAAACCTCTCTCTCTATCTCTCTCTCTCTCTATATATATATATATCTACACACACACATGTATATATACATAAAACAAACATCTTATATATATATGCCATTGGGGGAATACTCATAGCAGTATGGTAACTGGGAATAAGCTAGGAGTACGAGGAAAGAGGGAACAACATGAGGGCCCTTAGAGTCATCTACTCCAACACCCTCAGATTACAGATGAACTCCAAAGCTCACACTTGGATTGTAATGAAGAACATGTCAGGAATTGAGTTCAAAGATCTCAGACCAAAATGTAGTATGTAGTATCCCTTTCAGGCTATGGTCTCTTCCCTTCACCACACAGCTTCTATGATCAGCTCTTTAAAATGATTCTTGATTTCCATATTTGTAAAATAAATTTTTAAAATTTCAGATTAATATGAGGAAATAAACAATTAGGTTACAGTGTTCATGTTTGTGTTTGTTAGGTGAGCCCTTCATCCAGGAGGTGTGCCATATGCCCCTATATTGTGCCTGTATTTTTGTTTTTGTGTTTTTTTTTTTTTTGAAACAGAGCCTCAAGCTGTCCCCCTGGGTAGAGTACCATGGCATCACAGCTCACAGCAACCTCCAACTCCTCGGCTCAAGCGAGTCTCCTGCCTCCGCCTCCTAAGTAGCTGGGACTACAGACACCGGCCACAACGCCCAGCTATTTTTTGGTTGCAGCCGTTACTGTTGTTTGGCAGTCCGAGCTGGATTTGAACCCACAACCTTAGGTGTATATGGCTGGTGCCTTAGCCACTTGAGCCACAGGCGCCAAGCCCACTGTGCCTGTTAGGTGGGAGTTTACCAACCCCTTCTCCTCCAACTTGATATGTGTTTTTTTCTTGTGTGGGCATGTAGTTGTTTATCTACTAGTTTCACATTAGCATTGAGTACAGCGGATGCTTGCTTTTTCATTTTTGTGATAACTTTACTTCAGAGGATGTTCTTCAAATTTGTACAGGTAAATATAAAAGATGTAAAGTTTCCATCTTTATTTGTGGCTGAATAGTATTCCATGGTATATATATGCCATAGTTTACCCATTCATGAGTTGTTGGGTACTTGGGTTGTTTCCACATCTTGGCGATTATGAATAGAGCTTTTACTATAAGGACATTTGTACTAGAATGTAATAATGTAATAATTCTAGTCAAATGTCCTTATAGTAAAATTATATATATTTTTTCTTCTGGGTAGCTACCTAGTGATGGGATTCTTAGATGAAATGGAAGGTCTACTTTTAACTCTTTGCGGATTTTCCATACTTCTTTTCAAAAAGACTATGTTAAAAAAAAAAAAAGACTATGTTAGTGTGCAATCTCTTTAACATGAATTTTTAACAGTTCATCTTTTTCTCCTTCACCTTCTGTGAAGAATTCACTTACACAGGGCGGCACCTGTGGCTCAAAGGAGTAGGGCGCCGGCCCCATATACCGGAGGTGGCGGGTTCAAACCCGCCCCGGCCAAAAACTGCAAAAAAAAAATCAAACAAACAAACAAAAAAGAGATCACTTACACAAATCATTCTGTAAAAACAGAATTTCTATGGCTATATGAACACCAGTGAAGTGAAACAAGTAAAAATGCTTTTTTTCTTTCTTAGTCATTAATATTCAAACGGTATTTTGTTTTGGGGAAGTAGAGATAAAAGCTTTGAACACTTTCTCACCTTTAGCGTGGGAACAAGGCTTAAGAAGATTACTTCCAAGCTCCTGAAGCGCTTCAAGGAAAGTAGGAGCTTGAAGCCTCCTCACTGGGATCTCTGCCTCTGGTCTCCATCACCCAATTGTGTAACCCTACTTACCTTTTTTGCTCTCTAGGTTCCCAAGGCACCCGCCTCAATACCCAGGAAACCAGCCACCTTTTGTTTTCATGTTTGGACTCTCCTATCTAGTGTTAACCAGTAGGGGTGCACTCTAGGTAGACATCATTATGTCCATGGTTCCGTCCAACCCCTCCCTGCTGGTGTCCCCTTTCACCCTGGCTTTAATGGTATATCCCGGAACCAGGTTAGGAAGGCAAGAGGGGCTTCACTATCACACTCAGCCGCGGGGCAGCCGGTCAAGAACAGAGGAAGAGGTGAGGAGCCTGTGTGTGGAGGGCTGTGTGTGGCGGGTACCATTCTGCCTCAGGCCAGGCTGCCAGCCCTCTTCAAGAGGATCTGGAGCTGAAATTAAGGAGAAAGAGAAGTATTCTGGGACTAATTAAAGGCAGATTTCTTTCCTAGCTTGGTCAGTAGTGCGCAGTGTGCCTCACTTCTGGAAAGACATCATTCATCTCTGTGCCTTGGTTTTCCTCTTTTGTTTGTCCAACCCTAAACTTATTTAATTTCAGTACGAGTAGTTCCATTAGTCCCAATTTCCTCTTCCCTGAAGGCCTGTTTGAGAATCCCATGTGTTCCTTTGAGAGATGCTTTTGAAGCCTTTGTCCCTAACCCCATCAACAGGGAGCAGCAGGTTCAGTCACCAGGGCATACATGGCAATTAGGGAACCCTCTTACCTCTTGTTTCTGAATAAGAGCCTGATCTTACACAACATACCTCTTTTCTCTCCAACTCTAGATAACATCAAGATGCCCAAGAGTGAGGAAACTGTACTCCAAAATGATCCCAATGAAGCAAAGAGTGGAGCCCATAGTTCTGAAACATCAGGGAAGAACGAAGAAGAGGAAAACTTCTGTTTAGATAACTGCTCTCCTCGTAGGTCACATCACTTCCTTGGGTAGTGCTTGATAGCAGGAAGGTTAAAAGAACAGGGAGCCTGCGGCTTAAGGACCTTTACAGGGCATAAAAAGGCTATTGAAACTATTTTTCCTTCCTAAATTTTGTGTTAGTCCTATATTGGATTATTCTTTCTCCTGTCTTTTTCCCTCACTAATCTTTACATACAAGAGTTAGGCTCCTGGTTGGTAAGTAAAATTTTCTAAAAATTGGCTTTAAAAGCACAATTACTTGTGTTTGACAAGACTTGAGAGCGGTCACCATGGTAGGGATGGCAACTACCAGCGAAAGTTGATGGGGCAGTAGTTTGAATGGGTCTTCGCTGCCATCTTTTGGGTTTACCTGGAGTTGAGATATTCTGTCGCCCCGGGGGCAGGGTCCGCTAAGACTTGTGGAACTGCCGCGACCGGCTGAAGAAATGTAAAGTTAGGAACAACGGGCTCGGCGCCTGTGGCTCAAGTGGCTAAGGCGCCAGCCACATACACCTAAGGTGGCGGGTTCGAATCCCCAGCCCGGGCCCGCCAAACAACAATGACGGCTGCAACCAAAAAATGGCCGGGTGTTGTGGCGGGCGCCTGTGGTCCCAGCTACTTGGGAGGCGGAGGCAGGAGACTCGCTTGAGCCCAGGAGTTGGAGGTTGCTGTGAGCTGTTATGCCATGGCACTCTACCCAGGGGGATAGCTTGAGGCTCCGTCTCAAAAAAAAAAAAAAAGTTAGTAACAGCGATAAAGAAGAGACACGAGGCACAGAATAGAATTTTCAAAGTGGGAGCTCAGGGGACCACCGCCTGTTCGTCGGCTCCAGCCAGTGGCCCCGAGTCTTTGTTCCACACAACTTCTATTAAAACCTCTTTGCCAAGGTGGCAAGCTGAGGGAGGGAACAAAGAGCCCAGTATCTTTGAGTGAGCTATCAGCTCCTATTGTTATTATTATTAACTTCAAGGATTTCAGCAGTTTTGGAGTATCTGAAACTTGAGCCTTGTGTGGGGGAAGCCTCCTGTCTGAAGTCACACACGCAGATTCCTAGGGAGGTGTTAAGCTCCGCTAGTTCATTGTGGAGTAAAACACCACTGGTGTTAATCTCCTCTTAGGAATCAGCGGGAGAGAGGCTTTTTCCTCTCATCACCACCACAGAGGATTTTCCTCAGCCTTAAGGGGTGCCCCTTTCTCGGGGCTCCAGCTATTCCCTTGGTCTCTGCCCCAGCCAAATGCAAATCTCCACAATGGATATCTGCTTTGTCTGTTTAATGGGCAGGAAACGACCTAGAAAATGTATTTATTCCAGGTCTTATCATAACCTCTTTTGTAACCATTTTACTCCCTCAGAATATTCACAAACTCAGCAGAGTATTGGTGAAAACTATCCCCAATAGACCAGAATTTCTGGGAAAAAAAAAAGGAAACTTAACTAGATAAGAAATTTAGCAATAACTAACTAGCTGACTTTTCTTTGTTCCAACTCCTTCAGCTTACTTTTTAATTTTCCCCTTTTCTGGAAATGCCCTCTCCTGCCAAGACTAGAGTCTTTGGTCACCATTCTACGTACATATTCTTAGTAAAGTATCTTAATAGGAAAAAAGTATCTGGTGTTCTCAATAATAATATGAAACCAATATATTAACAACTATATGCCCACACTAAAGAGAAAACACAAATGAAGGCTAGCAAGGGGGAGAGGGGAGGAGGAAGGGCGAGTGGCCAGATCTCACCTAATGTGCACAATGTAAGGGTGTTCAACACTGGGTGAAGGGCTCAATTAGAAATTGAACTTTACGGCTCGGCGCCTGTGGCTCAAGCGGCGCCAGCCACATACACCTAAGCTGAAGGTGGCAGGTTCGAATCCCCAGCCCGGGCCTG